AACAAGTTTTCATAAACACATTGGCTTACATAAAGATGGATCTCGCTGCCTAGCTCTTCGCTCACCTTCTTTTTCTTGTTAAAGGAATAAGAAACTTCGTTTAAAAAATATATTTATAAATCGCATTTCATTGTGGTAAATGATAGGAGCTCTGGATACGTAGTGGGTTAAGTGTTGGGCAGATAAACAAAAAGGTTGGTAGTTTGACCCCACCAAGTGCTCCTTGGGAGAGAGTGCTTTTCTGAAGATTAACAGCCTCCGAAACCTTATGGAGCTCTCCTCTGATCCGTGAGAAGAGATGGACTGACAACAGTGAATTTGATTTTTGGTTATATAAATAATGAATTATAAATATCAATGGATTATATGCATCACAAAATATCTTAAGGTGTGAGGCTTCCTACCTAGATTACAGCTGGCTTATTTGTTTATTTAATTAAATAAAAACAAAAACTAAAAAAAACCAACCTACCACAAAAGTACTCAGAAGCTGCCAGCACAACAGAAAATAAATCAACAATTTCAATATCACTTTACATTCGTTCAAGGCAAACAAAACAGAAACTCCTGGCAAGATACAAAATAACAAAGTAAAAGAACATAGCTGATTCCTTATTCTGAAAGAACCCAGCCACCAAAGAACATTATTTGTGGCAGATAGAACATTTGAATATTCAAATAGGGTTTGCACAAGCCAAGAAATAAGCCACCCTGCTCCCAAGAACTGACTCAAGGACAGTGAGTTGGTTCGAATCCTAAAACGAGAGAGCAGTTTTGACAGAGACAGAACCTCCCAGGGTTTCTCTTGGTTTAAATTCCTCTGAGGTGGTTCACAGTCCAGGTGCTGCACATTCTGTCTCCACTGTTCTTTTCTCCAGGAACAGACTGCACGGTGGCTGAAGTGATAGTCTGTCCCTGGCTATTTGTTACATCTTTCTGTACAACCTTTTCCACTGAAGCCCACATCAGGGATCCGGCTTTTAACCCAGGATTATGATTGCAGATTCAGAGGAGTCAAGACATATTGATTTAAAAATCCCCATTCAGTTGAATCTCTTAGTATTGCACACAGGAGGCTATGTCAAAATAACTACAGATTTTTGGAAGACAGGAGAAAAAACACCCCAAAACACGTTAGCACAATACATCAGCTCCATGAATGATCGAGATGCAGATCTGTATAATCCTGGAGTGAAAATCTGGCGGCAGGGAGGCTGTTTGGGGGGACGGAGCTCCAGGCAACACAGGCTAAACGAAAAGGAGACGCTACTTTCTTCTAAGAGCACAGTTTCCCTAGGTGAATGACTAACTGTAAGAAAGCTACACTTCTGAAGACTCCTGGGAAGACCCTGAAGCCTGAAGAAGGGAGGGGAGAGAGGGAAGGCAGCAAGATTCTGGTCCCCCAATTACTCATATTTTCCACTTCCTGCCAACAAAGCAGACACGGTGTCCAGCACACACACAAGCACCCGTTGCAGGCCCTGTTCTTCAGGAAGCTGAAGAGAATCAGCCCGTCTTTTTGCTTTTAATTTTTCCCTTCCAAAGATAACAGTTCAGTTCCCTTGACTTCAAGAGTTTCTTTCCTTCCCTCTAAGAGGCAGACTGCCCAGGTCTCACCAGTACCTCTTGAGCTGCGGGCAGGGCTATAGTTCGGGCACTGGGCTCTGACTTTGTAGGATGGAGGTGGTATGACAAACAAAAATGTATTATTTGAACCTTAGGTGCTTATTAGGGTGACATCAGGGCCTATCAAACTGTCCCTAAACACCAACCAACCAACCAACCAACCAAATCCTGTTCCTTTTGGGGTCTAATTCTTTTTAGGTTAAACCTTGAAAGCTAGCTCTTTTTCTGTGTTATGTATATTTTATCTAGATTACCACCATTAACGAAAGAAACACTGGCAAAGGGGCATCCCAAATGTTCCCCGAACCCACCACAGAAAAAGCTCCTTAAGGACACCCTACATGGAAACAATTAGCTTCCAGGAGAAGCCCACTTCCTAGGTGACTTGATTTTAAAATCTACAGGTGGAAACAAACAAAATGTCACTTAGAAACTCAACTGAGCATAAAATAAGTAGCTACATGAATATTTCACTGATTTTCTACTTTACAAATAAGCCTTAAATAAAACAATGTTATTTTCTGTACTATCAGATCAGTAAAAGATTTGCTATAGATTTATTTTTTGGTACAATTTTAACAGTTTTAAAAAACAGAAACTTAGGTGGGGGCTTGCATTTGGATCGTTAACTTTGTACTGCAGAGTCTCAGCTACTAATCAAGCCCCCATTCACCTAGTCTTCCCCGATCCTCGCTGTCCCGTCTTCCTCTGCTGGATCACCGTCTTCCACTTCACCCAGCCAGCACCTAGCTACAGTGAGCTCCCTGCTTTATTCTCCCTCCTTTGCCTTCTAGGATTTGGCAAACTCCAAATTGGTATGAAAGTCTTTATCTTGTTCTACCTCCTACCCTCTTAGAACAGTGATCTCCAATAATATTTTTTCATTTTTTGATCAGTTAATTTCATTCAACAACTGTATTCCCCAGGTCCACCCATATCCTGAGGTGCTTCCTGGTCATGTCCCTTTCTTCAGCTATGCGTAATATTCCAATATGTGAACACTTGCTTTTGAAGTTAAGCAATTGGAACAACGACGCTGTTGGGATACATAAATAAACACACACACACACACACACACACACACACACACACACACACACGGTACTTTCAAAACTCATGTATTCACTTGAACACGTGATACATTTCTAAGTAAAGTTCTGAGTACACAATATAGAGAGTATCTTATTTCACAAAAGTGTAAATAATAACAGTTTTCATTTTAATGGCTTGCCTTGCAATCAAATAATTCTAATCATCAATTAATCAGAAATGGAAGGAACTAAGTAGGTAGGGTGACAGTAAAAAATATGGGCATGTTTATTTTTTAATGTTAGTTTTAAACCTATGTAGTGCATTACAATACACAAATACCCCCACCCCACCCTGAACGTGAAACCATGGAACTTTCACAATAGTAGCATAAGAGGCATTCTGGACACCTGTTCTCTGCCCACCTTCAGCACACTGTGATGGATACATCATTTGATAGGCTGGGGCGCATCTTTCAATATGCTAGGGGATTATACCATCTTGTCTCAACTAAAATAAAATGGAATGGAGACGTGCACAAATCTTGCAGAGAAACCATGGAACAAAGGCAGTACTGATAACTAGCCAACCAAAAAGAGAATGCAAACACACACTTCTGACTCGGAACGCATGCATGCACTCCCACCTTAGATACATGTACCCAGTGGGGGCACGCGACAAAGTGAGCACAGGGAACAGTGCTGGGGGACAACTGTGTGGACAGCCCCCCAGCCCCAGCTGTGAGAAGCTGACTGCTCAATGGCTTACAAATGAAATGTTCAACCAGAGAGCAGGGGGACCGGTAGGCACGGCCGATGGTCTCATCTGGTGAGGCCACTGCGGTCCTGGCCGAATGGGACAGACCTGCACTCAGCTAGCTGCACTGTTATACTCACTTGGTAGCCATTGTGGGCCAACCAGCTTACATTAAACTAGCAATCAAATTTTGTCCTAAGGAAGTAAGACTTTAGCAGCATTTTTCAGTCTTACATTGATCCCAAGGCACACGGCTCACAGCCTCAATGGAAAGTGAGATTTGCAAAGACTCTTAGTGGCTGTTGATACCTTGTACCGTGTGTGTGTGTGTGTGTGTGTGTGTGTACACACACACTCTAAAAACAGTCTGGAGTCTATTTGCTTTATGATCTTTTTAAAATATGCATTTTAATGTCTCCATAAAAGTCATTTAACAAGAATATGTGTGATGAATCCAGTCATTAAGAAGTCCTGACTGCACCTTTTAATGACACCTCTTTTTAAGAGAGCAAATGAGTGGGAATTATAAAAATAACTTTGAAAAGCTGCCAAAATAAACTTAAAAATTTCAGTGACAACCTAAGTGACAGGAGATAAGACAGTGTCATGATGTCAGAGTCTGGGAAGTGCTACTTGGATTCTGAGTAGGTCGCTGCCCTGTCTGAATGAGTCGAGCAGGACAGCCCCTCAGCCTGCTCGGGTGGCAGGATCTCCACACTGGCCACTGTGGCCACAATAGCAGAGCCTAAGTGGACCAGGTCCCGGCTCTGAGACATCCCATCTGAAAGCAGGGGTTGGAGTAATGTCTGTTTTTGTATGGCCTCATAGCTAAGAATGATTTTTACTCTGAATTAAAAATTTTAAAAAGTATTATTTTGTGACATGAGAAAAATACCTGAAATTCAACTTCAGTGTCCACACACAGTTTTATTGGAATACAGTATTGCCTTATATGTTAGGTCTGGCTGCTTTTGGACTACCACAACCGGGTGCAGTTGTGACAGACCCGATGGTACACACAAAAGCCCAGCATATTTCCTATCTGTCCTTTACAGACACAGTCAGCCGACCTCTGCTTGAGCGTTATCTTATCAAAACCAGGACCCATGTTCAGATAACAAGGTTTAAGGTAGTTGGAAGCAGGTCAGCAAAAAGTCAACCCAGAGTATCTCTGCACAGAAAGGTTCTCCCTGTCATGGCAGTCACCGTGAGGAGGTGATAATAAATCATCAAAGCATAAGCCAAAGGACTGTAACAACAATTTTAGGGGACACACACACACACACACACACACAGATCTGACTAAGGATTGCAGTGTAACTTTGGGGTAGAGGCTATGATACAGTTTTGATCATGACATGGAGACTTCTGGGACAGGTAGTGGGTTAAAGACGAAAGAACAGAATATTCTTTGAAATTGGAGCTGTCTGGAAATATATATATGTTTTCTTTAAGTTGAACCAAAGAATTAATTTAAAGGAAAATATGAAAAGTGCTACTTCTTCATAGAAAGGAGGAACAGGTAAGGGGTGAGAGAGACATGAAAGTAGAAAGGGGCTTGGCGGACCTATGAGAGGCGAGTCTCTTACTTGCACAAGTGTAGGCATCCTTGTTGGTGAAAGGCTTTAGGCAGTGGCTGCAGTTGATGGGACCCACAACAGGAATGGGACTGAAGGTGTGTCCATTGATGGTCTTCTTGTCCTTCTCCTTCTCTTTGGAATCTTTTTCCTTCTCCTTAATCTTATCTTTCTCTTTCTCCTTTTCCTGTCAATGGAAAGAATCAACAGTTGACTCATCACCAAAGGCCTGCCCGTCACAGGGGCTCTCCACAGGGCAGCAGTCACCAGTTGGTGGTGAGAGTTTTAGACAAAAGTGAGGAACACGATTGTGGATGACCTCTCTGACCCCAAAGGTTTTTATTAAGTTGTGGGCATGCAATACACCTCGGAGAAAAAAACCTATGGCGGCTGGCTGGGTTATTTATATAGACAGACCTACAGTCTTAAGGACATGCCCTATAAAGAAACTTCTGGTGTGGGAAGGAGAAGGCTGGTGGCCAGGGAGCTCTTCAGTGTGAGATGGCACAGCCGACAGAGCCAGCCAGAGCTGGCCTGTCGCAGGGAGAGGGGAAAGGAGGGGAACAATTCTGGGATTAGCTTGCAGGAATGGACGTACTACTGAGAGGCACCTAAACTACTCCGCTGCTCCCTCACCCCCTAAATCGCATGCCCCTAGGTCTGCTTCCTTTCTTTCTCTTGCCAGAGAATTGGATATCATGCCTCACACGGTTATAGTTCTTACTAGTTAGAATGTCAAGGTTTATGGATATCAACTTTGGCCCAACAGTCAAAATGTGGGGAGGATGTAGAAGAGAGGAGCAGGCTGAGAAACTGCCCTGAGGTGAAGAATACGGATGATACCGGCAGAGCTGGGGTCAAGTCCACATGTTCCTATTACTTAACAGTGACTGACCTTGGGTCAATTAGTTACATTCTCTTCAGTTAGCTCCATGGGGTTGACAATAGAGGTATTCACCCCACAGGGTTTTATATGGGGGAGAACTGGGGTTGATACATTTAAAACACTTTGCACCTGACACAGTATATTCATAATACTTAGTGATAGTTACTATAATAATTGTTAACAACTCATTGAAAATAAGTTCCATTTACTGAATTGTTCCCCTAACCTAACCCAGAAGCACAGAGTTGGCAAGGGACTTCCGAAAGGAAGGCGGAATGGTGGGAAAGCCCACAAGGACAGTGGTGCGGAGCAGGGAAGTCAGGACAGGCCTGGGAGGAAGGGCAGGCATAATCAGAGTGCGTAGGTTCCCTCAAAACCACTTTATCTCCTCAAAGAAGTTACCCAAGGGGTCACTTCCTTCAGGAAAATGAGGTCCCAGAGAAAGGCACCCTGCCTGGCCTTCTGTACCCTCCTCTGCTCTGAAACACATGGGCGCAGCAGGCACGGGAAAGGATGCAGGCTGGAATGCACCCTCATTTGGACAGACCAGATTTACACAGACCTGTGCTCTGGTCTCCCTTGAGAAGCACCCTTCTCTTCTGTGTTCCTTCCTCACCAGTCAGAGTGGAAATGGGAAACAGAAATTCATCTAATGTTTACTATGCACCCAGCCACAGCCTGGTGGCTTCCCCTGACTGAGCAGATTGGAACTGGGCCAGGAGTGGAGTGCAGGGGACACTGGCAAAGGAGCAGTCAGGCTGGGTGGAAAGGGAAGGTGCAGCACTGGGAGGCACGTGTGCTGAAAGGGCAATCCGGGGCTATATTCCCTCACAGCCACACAGGCACGCTCCAAAGGCTCGTGGGCAAACCTAACACAGCTGCACTTTCACATGATGCCACACCTCAGTCTAAGAGCCATTATTAAGATGAGAAATGGAAAGGAATTTGGTTCTCTGTCCTTTTATGTTCTTTTTTTCTTAACCCTTTAAGACTTGAGGAAATACTGGGGCACAAGACCGCTCCATCCCAGACTGTGGGAATAGCAACTGGTTCTATGAGAAAATGGCCTTTTGGACAAGAATGCGGCTCTATGTCATGATCCCTGCTACTCTGATGGCTATCTGTATGTGGTTGGCTTAAAAAAAAACCACTATTATTATTATTATTATCTTGTTTTTGCTTTTTCATGTTGATCTATACTGGAAATGAAGGATGAACAGTCTGAAGGAGACAGTGGCCAGACCGATGGCACAGGAGGGGAGAAGATGTGGGAGGGGAGCTGGGAGCCAACAATGGGGGAAAAGTAAGAGCTCTAAAACGGACTGCGAGTAGGGTATAGCTTTTCTCGGTGTTTGATCAACTGAGTTGTATCTGAGAAGTGAACGACAGGCAAGCTTAATAGTGGGGCAGATATATTCATACAGACATACGAATATCTGTTTATGTATGTTTATATGTAAATGTAACAAGGAAGCAGATGAACTTAGGGTCTCTACTTAAATCCTACCCCTGTACAAGAAAGGTTTGCTCTAATAATAACAAAATAGATGCATAAGCAATTGTGAAGAAAGCTGATGGTACCCAGCTATCAAAAGCTATAGCATCTGGGGTCTTAAAGGCCTAAAGTGAAACAAACGGCCACCTAGCAGGGAAGCTACAAAACCCATGGAAGCAACACACCACGCTGTGTGATCATGAGGTGTCAACGGAACAGGTATCAGAAGTTCAAAAAATCACGCATCCAAATTGGTATGAAGGGCACTGGATGTAGTGGAGACCCAAAGTCCACCAGCAAGACAATTGGGCAGTCCCTCTTTGTAGGGCCTCATGGAACGGAGGATAAATCCAGGATGCAGTGCGACACTGATGACCCACCTAGTTCAAGATTTCCTCCCCTTACTATTATGGTCCATACATGATATACCTCATTGGTCATGTAAGACTTATGTGTGTTCATTTGTTCATTTAAGATCACTCAGTACATGGTAGTCAAGACAGACAACCCCTCAGAGACACTGACAGGAGTAAGGGTTCCCTGAGGGTATGGGAAGTGAGAGGGGCAGAGAGAGGTGGGGGGTGGGTGGGTTTGAAAACATTGATGATTATATAGCCCAGCGGTTCTCAACCTTCCTAATGCCGCAACCCTTTAATACAGTTCCTCATGTTGTGGTGACTCCCCCCCCCCACCATAAAATTATTTTCATTGCTACTTCATAACTGCAATTTTGCTTCTGTTATGAATTGGGCAACCCCTGTGAAAGTGGATTAACTTTTTTTTTTAACGGATAAGTTTGGAGAAGTAAAATTCACCCAGGAGTTCCATCTACTACTGTATACTACTGTTGTCATCTATGAAGAGTCCTGGAAACAGGAGCCCTGAGTTAGCAGCCACTACAAGTACCTAATTCCTTACGTTCTGAGTTTGTGCCTTTTACTAACGGACATTCATTCATCTGATTCCCAAACTCTGAAGTGGGCAGGGAGCGCATTATGCTTCCCATCTCACAGCGGAGAGGTTGACGATAACACACAACAACCAATACTTAGACAGTTACTACGTACTGAGCACTGTGCTGAGCAATGCGTTTTCTGGCAACAGCCCTGGGAAAGAGCTACTACTGTTTCCATTTACCTACGAGGAGACAGAGGCTTGGAGATGCTAAACCATGTATCTGAGGCCATACATCACGAAATGACCAATCAACGATTAAAATCCAAGGGGGCCCGATGAGACAGCTCATTCACGACACTAGAGAGGTCCATGGTCTTGCAGAAAGCCACACAGCAAATGATCGGCACCGTTACAATGAGAACCCAGGGCTTCTGCCTTTCTACTAAACAGCCTTTCCCACTACTTTGAACGGGTCACTCTTTGTTAAGTCCAGGGTCCGTCCCTGTTAGATTGTTTGTTAAAAGGCTGCACATAATGAAACTCTTGGGGCTGAATTGCTAAAGTTTGGAATTACAAGAAATGACACATCAGGAAGAGAGAAACACAAACGACTTCACACCACAGGAAATTGTTCCGAGTGAAAACTGGTAGCTACACCTCAAATACAAATGAACAGCAGAACTGGGTTTCCTTGAGGAATTTTCTTTTAGCTACAATGTTCCAGAGGTTCCTTCATCCATAAAGTGTTAACTGAGCAGCCTCACTCTGACTGCTGGCTCCGGAAATCTAAGCTATTCTCCAGTAGTTAACGGACATCTGCTGTGGCAAGTAGCTTCACCTCTCACGTCTAGCTATGCTTTGCAAACCTGAGCAAATAACACGCTCTCCATCCTTTGCAATGATACATACTAGTTTTCTCCAGAAAAACAAAAGAGTAAACTTCCCTCTTTCAATTTGTATTAGAAATTAGTGCTTTAAAGAAGTTAGCTCTTACCTCCTCCTGCTTTGTTCCTATGAATCTCACTGTTATGAGGGGCACGTCATGAAACCGACCCCATTTTACCGACATGATTCCACCCCCATGCCAGGAAATGTGCTCTCACTGAAGGAGGGGCTCATGCCCGCCAGTCGGCTGGCTGGGCAGAGCTCAGCAGCTTTGAGCTAACACTAGAGAAAGCATTAAGAGGAAGCTAGAGACTGGTTGAGAAAGAGAATGCGGGAGGGCTGAGGCTGCTTGTTTCCTTGAGACAATCTTAACTATTTCAATGCTGCTGGTAACGCTGTGTTACAAAGAACACAGGATATGAAACCAAACGAGTTCCACCAAGTGCTGTGTTTGTGGGCAGTGCTTAAGCTGCAATATGGGACTGAGACCAATTTTTAACACTATAAGCTAAGGAACACTCTATTTAAAAACAAGCACCTTGTTTTATAAAAAGCAGTGAGTTTCCTGAGAAATCTTTTTAGTCAGGTGGTAGCTGGCTGCTCTGACACCAGACTTGTCCATTTCGGCAAGTGCCAGGACAGTTTCACTACGTGCTGGGGACACGTCCTTATGGGGAAGACATGGGCAATAACTACACGAGGACCCTATGGAGGAAAAGGATTTCTCACTGTCCCAAACCTGACTGGGAACCCTAGCAGTGCAATGAGTTAGGCCCTGGACTACTCCCCAGGTGCTCTTGTTAGGGGGGGTGAGGTGGTATGCTACTCTGTGTTCTAGAGCAGCTAAGAGCTAGATGGAACTGACCCAGTGGCTGTGTGTTTGCAGCTCTGGGGAGGAAGCACTATAAGGCCGTTCTACTGTGTTCTACAGGGCCACTAGGAATCTGGAATGACTTAAGAGTAGAGTATACCGCAACGAGAACAGAACCATCCTTACGACATGTCTTTACAACGAAACACAAACCTTGAACAACCCTGAAAAGGTCGTAGGAGTAAGCAACTTTTATTTGTGGGGAGGACGAAAAGTTCATGAGAAAATTGTGATATTTTCATTCCATTTTCCCATGAAAGTTTTGAAGCTCTTTTGTGTTTAACACTGACCAATGTCTCTGTAAACATCCCTCTTACAGTCACCTCTGAAAGTCTGATGGGGAGAGTATCATTTTATATAGACTGCAAGAAACTAGGAATTGGCCCTAAATGTCATGCAGTAGATTAGCAACTATGTAGGAACTCATCCCTTGCAATCAAAATTATCTACTTCAGAAAGAAGGAGCAATGGGACCGGTCAACACAGGAGGAAGTGGAAAGGGTGCTGCTACACTGTGGGGGCTGCATTCAGTGTCACAAAGCAAAATGTGCATGACTTGGTAGAACTTCTCTAAAGACATTTCTAACTATCATCGAGTTACTTACAAAAAAAGCAGGCCAAGATGTGCAAAGAAAGCCCAGGTGGCAAGATGGTTTAAAGAACCTGCCCCACTCTCTTTCTGAACCCAACGAGGATGCACAGTAGTGTTTAAAGAGGCTGTAAAACAAGGCAAATTATTTAGCAGGACACTCTGCTATCTCTCAGAGATACTAAACGACAAAAGCAGAAACTGTCAGTCTTCCTGTTGTACTTCCTGTTGAGACTCTTTTCCTCTTTTCAAACACAAAACAAAACCAAAAACAGTATGTTTACTTATCATTTTCATACAAAATCACTGTTGACATCACATGAGCACTTTTAAGTTTTTAACACTACGAAGAGACAGTAAACTATCTCAGACAGCATCACGAAATTATTCAATAATATGAAAAGAATATTATCACAGCCAAGAGAAAATTTAACATTCACTTAGAAAACGGAACATCTCTGTTCTGTCCCATCGGAGCGGCAAAGCATAGATCAGACAGGGTATCTGATAGACAGTCAGACAAAGCGTACTGTTTCACTCGATTCACGGGAGTCAAACAACAAACAATGAAAGGTGCCTGTTAAGCTTTTGCACATACTTGGCTTTCAACCAAAAAGCCAAGCCCACAGTTACGGAGTCTCTCTGACTCACGGCAACCTGTAGGGCAGTGTAGAACCGCTCCTCTGGGCTCCCAGGACTGTACATCTTTTCATGGGTTCCAAGTGCTGCCCTTGCAGTTAGCAGCTTTAAGCAAAACACATCCCACCACATGGCCATCAGGGTGCGCTAACCTCCTGATAACGCAGGATGGTCTGTAATCTAGCATGAACAATTTAGATTGGCAGCTTTCCTGAGACTGTCCATGCCTAGAGACAGCACAGTTCCCACAGAGCAAGTCTGAAAGGGGAACCAGCCTAACTGCAAAACAGTGCTGTCATCCCGAAAAAGATGATTAGAGGCAAGAGGTCAATCGATACTTGAGCAGTTTGTGCCAGTGAAGACAGACTAAAGCAAACTGCCTTCTCCTCCCATGCCGCCCTCTCCTCATTCCCTCCCTGGCAAACACCAGTCCTCTGAGATCACTAACAACATTTTCAAAAAGGAAAACTGTGCTGTTCAGCAGCAGTTAGAATTTGGTTACAAGTAAGCACGACAAGAAGTGCGCCACCTGCCAGAAAGCTCTGGTGGTACAGCGCTTAAAGAACTCAGTTCCTAAAGACAAAGTCAGCAGTTCAAACCCAAGGACCCCTGGCTGTGATTTGAAAGGTTAGTAGTTCGAAACCACCATCCTCTGCAGGAGAAAGACAGGCTTTCTACTCCTGTTAAACAGTTACGGTCTCGGACACTCCTAGAGGCCGTTCTACTCTGCCCTATCGGGTCGCTATGAGTGGGCATTAATTCGATGGCAGTGAGTTTGGAGGTTAAGGGTTCAAACCCATCAGGTGCTCCACGAGAGAAAGCTGTGTCAGTTGCTACCACAAAAATACAGCCTTAGAAACCCTTCTGGGCAGTTCAACCCTGTCCTACAGAGTCAATGAGTCCAAGGAGACTCAACAACACACAACATTTGCCCAGGGTGGAGCACAGAGGTTCAGCGGTGTGACTGAAGCATCCATCTATACCTCTCTGTGCTGTAGCCATGACGAGGCTGGTGAGATTATTCTTTAAAGTCAGGCTCAGTTTCCACAGTCAGGCTTACATTGCTTTTTCATGCATCTGCTTCACTGCTCCGCCCCAAACTCAACGTCGCTGGAGGTGAGGGACAGGAGGGGACCTGTACTTATTTTATTCACCTTTCAATTAAAAAAATATTTGATGAAAAATCTGTGCAGTGCAAGACACAAAAAAAATTTAATGACAAAAAAATTACTCTGATATCATCTAAACTCAATCGTGAAATGTTTCAAGGGACAGACCGAGTTCTAGTTCTTTTGGATGCCTCTGGGCACCTGGGAGAGTGCGAGTACTGTAGATGTAGCTTATTAACACTTGGGCTCCTTCATACTGACATTAGTGGTGAGTCAAAGAGTTAAGGCTCTATTTTTAAGTCTTGCCAGCATGCAGAATAACAGTAAGTATCTTGCCCTCATTAATATTAGATTTTTTTAAATTAAAAGATCATTTTATTGGGGACTCTTACAACTCTTGTCACAATACATACATTGATTGCATCAGGCATGTTTGTAGCTATGTTGCCTTCATTCATTTCCAGACATTTACTTTCTTTCTTTATTTTTAATATCAGATTTTCAACTGTATGATAAAGTTCTGTGATTTTTCCTGACTGTCCACTGGCTTTCAAATTGGTGGGTCACAGGAGACATGGAGAGAGCACAATTCTGGCGGCAGGTCTGATATAAAGGGGTGTGTGTGTGTGTGTGTGTGTGTGTGTGTTTCAGCTCCCTCACTGCCATCATGTTGACTCCTACTCAGACTGACCCCAGAGGACAGCGCAGAACTGCTTCTCAGCATCTCAGAGCAGACTGCCTCATCTTTCTCTGAGCGTGCATATATGTAGGAAGTATACACACTGCTGTACATACACACATACACACTGAGCCCTTCTAGGAACTCCTTAATTGATTGCTAATTTTTATTATGTCTTACTTCAATTTTGTGGGCCAGGGGGAATGAATGGCATGGAGGGAAAGTGGGGGGCCAAAAGTTTCCTCTACTGAATTTGAAACTGAAACAGTTTCAGTTTAGCACTGGGAAGCAGTGTTAGGAAAATGAAACCCTTCCTTTCTTTCTTTAAAAATTAATTGGAAAAATAAAAGGTAATAAGCCAAAATAGTAGTAGTTACTTCAATGTAGCTATTACGGTAATTTTTATTTACAGAAAATTCTTTATTATATTTTTTTAAAGAAATGGAAGTTTTTATTTAGAAGGTAAACCATGGAGGAGACGACAGCAGTACAAAACAAAGGGTCTTTGTGGTGTCCTGTTTTAAGTCAGAACACACCTTTGGGTTTGGAATTTATGCTTCTTCTAGTGAATAGCTAGTAAACAAAGAAGCAAAAGTATTAGCTTCATTATTTGACATTAACTATAGATGATATTGCCCAACAAGTTCTTAGCAAGGAATAGCCAAGAATTCACATTAAAATGGTCTAAAAAGTTCTCGTAAATTTTCTGTGAGACAACTTTCCATCTTCTGTAAACACAAATGTAAATATTTTCAATCCCCTGATCCAGGAACAACTCAGTTGCATTTTAAACTTTACCCTGACTTAAGCATCACCAGTGGGATTACGGGGTCTGGGCTTACCCCTCTGTTCCACCTTAGAAGTACACACTCAGATGAGTGACCCCAATCCTATAAAAGGGAGGGACTTCTTTATTTTTTTAAATTAATTAATAAATCATTTTATTACAGCTCTTATACCAATCCATACACCAATTGTATCAAACTCATCTGTACATGTGTTGCCATCATCATTTTCTTTCTGCTTGAGAAAAAGGAGGTAATTCTTAACTCACAGAGTTGCTGCAAGGGTTACATGAAGATCACTCTGGGAAAACTAACACATAATAAAAGTCAATAATGGAAGAGGTACTTTGAACTGTTTTTCTTACTATAGGCTATTTCAGTAAGTGCCCTTGAAATGATGCCCGCTTAGATTCCATATTTAATTCATCGTGTGCAGCCTAGGACAGGGGTCCAGTGAAGACAGAAGGGTGTGTGTGTGTGTGTGCAACAAGCAGTGCTCAGGATGATACTCACTTTGCTCTTCTTACTGCTGGACATTTTATTCTTGATGTAGCTGAAGGTACGGCTGACTTTTGTTCCACTTTTTCCTTCAAAATCTTTCTTGGAAGGGCTTTGTGGCAGTAAATGGTAGTTTTCTTCAGTTATACTAAGTAAAAAAAAAAAAAAAGGAAGATTTAAGGATTATAGAAGTCAAATAGAATTATAAAAGCGAAATAAAAAAAGCCCTGAACTGATAGTTTTGGGGGGCAACTGTGACTGTTCTAGATTAATGACTTTATTGACAAGTCATTATGTCATTTCACAGTAAAAACCAGAATAAGAGTGTGGAGTAGAGGCTGCCAGATGATCTTATACACAGTGCCCCCTGCTGCCAAAAAAAAGAAGTTACATTTTCTTATGTCAACTATTTTCAGTGACCTGGGTTTGGTTCTAGATATAAAATAAATAGACTATTAATTATTCACTAAGTATCTTACCCAAAATGTCTTCATTTACACAACTCTCAACTCATAACTGTTTGCATCACATAGGTGGTTAGAAAGGAGAGCCCTGTATGCAACGGGCGACAGGGAATGCTACTGGAGGTAGTAAGCCAAGCGGTTAACCGCACCGCAGCAATCACACGTCTTCCCTATTCTTTTGGCATACTGGACGGTCAAGACTTCAGGCTGGCCAACACAGTCACATGCAAGTTTAGCAAAGCGTGTTTGCAGTGAGGTGGGATGGACTTGATGGCATCCAACAACAGTGAACAACTGGCAAACTTTAGGCAGGGTACAGAAAGACCCATTTTAGGAGTGTGAAATAGGTCCAAATGTAGTCTTCTACTTGTTCACGAAGTCTACATAAAACTGAAGTCCATCCACACTGGACATGTTTTGACCTGGGAAATTCCTAATAGTTGATTGAGTCAGAGGATGCCGGGCAAAGGCACCTGAATAAATAATCCATTATATGGCAATGAAACCCATTTATACTAGTTTTATAACTTTCCACTGAAAACGGAATAATCATCAGGTGAAGTCACTAATGCTTGTGTACAGGGGTGTCATTAAACAAAGGAGTGTTGTAAGAAATTGGGACAACAGTATGAAAAGCAATGCTCTCAAGAGGAACAGAATGTGGAAGGGCAGAGAAAAGCACTTGTTCCAGCATCTGGGGTCACTTGAGCCACATGAGTACCTTTGCTGAAGGAGCAACCTAAGAAATAAATTGTAGGGCATCCATTGGAAGAGCAATTTTTACTGTTGCTAAACTAGTTCATCTCCAGCATGGAAAGAGAATTAGAAACTAAACAAGTCAGGATGGAAATGTTCTGTCTGCGGTCAAGTAAAGGACCAATCCGTGTACTTAGGCAGAGATGTGTAACATATCGCTGTCTACAGAAGAACATGGTGGCATTCAAGTCTACAATGCCCATGGTAGTAGCAGCAGCTGGTGGATGGTTACTATGAATGAGCATTCTGCATAAACAAAGGGGGAATCTGCAGCACTGAATTTCAAATTCTCACGGACTCTACACTGTCTGGGACCATGAATGCGGGATGAACCTTTGAAATAATTGCCCTGAGATGATTTTCAAACCTTAAACTAAACATATTCTGTGATGTCTACTTAAAGTCAAACAACAGTTTAGCCTTAACTAGTACAACAGTTTGCCTTGGTATTCGTAGTTCTTTTAAGTGCTCTTTATTCTATGAGATCGAAGTGACGGATTAGAAAGGCACATCGGGGCGATGAGTTTCTGGTGGGTTGGGTTGGGGTGAAACAGCAAAGGAGGGTGGAGATGGAAGCATGTCACTGAGGGCTCAGGTAGCAGCAGGTTTGGGGCAGGTTTTGCTGTGCAAATTCTCCACAACAATAAAAATAAAAACATCTAAACAGTAACCAAAGACAAAAAGATACAGGCTTTGATACAAAACTATTTGTTCATCATTATTCCAAATTGATTACTTGAGGAAAATAAATGAGCTTAAATGCACTGGGCTATTCTGGATTGATTTCATTTGGTTATAGAAATGACAAAAGGAATGCACGCTACCTTTCAGTCAGGTTAGCACTGGTGTTGTGGAACAGTCGAGTATCTAGGAAACAAAAGAGGATGAGGTAAACTTTGAACATGACTGAGAAAACGTTTCAAATATTTACACTGACACAACAGATGCAGATTGACACAAGAATCGGTGTGTGGTGCCGCCTCCTCCTCCATGGGAGAAGGATCAAACCAGAAACCATGAAGTTAGAAATGGAGACGCGAGCGGTCAACAGTGAGTTTCCCATGACAACAAAATAAGCAATTGTAATCTGGGGTTCAGTTAAGTGAACTAATCTTAAATCAACATCTTTCCCCCCACTAATCGGTACCTAACTCACCCACAAAGCATGCTTTAATCCCATTCCTATCAATAGTCTATTTCCCTAGGCCACCCTTCTAAGATGGCATCACAGACAGGACCTACACTAGGACACTATTGCACTCTACATGCTGTATCAATCCTACTTTGATATATTTCAGTATCAGAAACCCCGCTTATGTATCTCTGGCATTCTCCCGAGAAGTCCAGACACGGGCCACTGAAGAAGAGAGAACCCGGGACCTGGCTGAAGCTCTTGGCCCCATCACTAGTTTGGGGTGAGACCGCTGGATCTCATTTTCTCATCTGCGTGACCAGAGAGGTGGAGATGTTCTCTAACATCCTTTCCAGGATGGTACTGATAAAAGGAGTGAACAGATAGATGCATCCTTCCCACTTCACACAGATCAGAGCTTATCCCCAAATGGGTCATTAAAATTTTAAGTCAAATAGGAGGGATGGAATGTAGAACAGAAAAAGGAACACTATCATTATTTTGACCTACAGGCTGAACATTTTAAGCTACGTCAGAATTTAAAAGGATAAAAGGCAGCCACTGCAGAGATAAATGGTGTTCAATTTTCAGGAGATCAGGGAAAGAAATATTTTCCATTTATGATTCCAGGTACAGAGATTGAGTAGCTCCACCTACCTCAACGTGGAGCATATGCACCCTTTACCTTGAGGTTTGTTTCAAGGATCTCTGAAGGTTACTGCGAGTAAAGCTTCAGAAGAGATTAAAAGATGTTCTCTTACTAGATAACTAGCAGTGGCAATTCTTAACCTCTAAAACTATCTTAGATTCAGAAAACAATGCAAAATTGCAGTTTGTACTAAGTGATACAAATAGCGGAGGAGTGGAATAGTACATAGTCCTAAGTCTTTAAGAAGTTGCCTTGTCCATGCACCCCTTAGGGTTTTTCTTCTATTGCCCTACTGTGCATAGTAGCAATAGTCAACTGAATGAGAAAGACCAGCAGAGGGAGAGGAAGATCTAGCTCCCGTTCCTTGGTTCTGCTGGATCAGGTACGAATCCATTAGCATTTTAATCTCATGATGCTTTTGTTTTTGCTTAAGTAAAACTCCCAAGAGGCTGGTTCTGGCCAGTGGCTTTAAACTCTTCCCTAACACAGACCTTTCAACGAAACACAGTTGCTTCATTTTATTCTCTCAGGCCACGTGTATACAGTCATATTCTTACATAATAAATGGCCAGCCATAAACGGCCACCCTAGTAATCAGAAAACTCAAATCCAACTCATAAAACAGATTAAAAAACAACCCAATATAGAGCTCAAGAATAAACCGGTGGATTTCTGCAGAATTAACCAAACACGGAACATACGGGGCTAGGGAACTGGGACAATCTAGGGCTTTAACATTGTCTACCGCTAAAAATAAAATTTTAATTCCATTACGGGACTGTCTTAGATGTGATTCTGAAAATAATGACTAATTTATTAATGTCTCTACAATTCCTAAAGTAACACATAGAGCACCTAAGAGCATAACACTGATGGCTCTTTCTATGATACGATCAGACAAGAGCCATGTACTCTGCCATTTGAGTTGGTCTGTGAAGTCCATGATTATTGCCAGTGAGCAGACCAGGGTTGGAACCTCTGGATGTCTATGGTCAGTATTTCCCCAGCATGTTCAGTGAGGGAGCAGAGCTGCTCCAGAAGCATTGTCACCGAGGGTGAAGCACTGGGCTGCCAACCCAAAGGCTGGCGGTCGGACACCGCTCAGGAGAAATCCAAGGGAGCCTGCCTTGGAAAACTGGGCAGCCTTGGAAACCCTACGGCGCACGTCCACCCCATCCTCCTATGGGTGTGAATCCACCAGTGGGCCATGGGGTTGGTTTTAACCTTCTAGGAGCAAATGGCCGGGTCTTTCTCCCAGAGAGCTGCTGGATGAGCCCAAATCAACAACCTCTTGGCTAGCAGTGGAGCGCTTTATTTTTGCACCACCAGGAATCTTTAAGTTATGCACCAGGAAGAACCACTATGAAATATTGCTGAAACTTGGGGTGAAGCAAATGACAGGACGTTAGGAAGCCCTGAAGACTTTGAGCGTCAGATGACGTTATTAATTGCTGTTGCGTTGATCCCAGTTGATAGAGATTTTTTCCAGACAGATTGCTAGGCCTATTTCCATGATGTCTCCAGGTGAGTTTGAACTGCTAAGCTTCTGGCTAATAGCTGTGCCACCCAAGGAAACCTTAATTGTCAGACACCCATAATATTAAGTATATGATGTAGAAAAAGGTTTATTAGGTTACTTTAGATCAGAAATAGTTTATCTATTAAAAATATCAATACTAGCATATTCTAGAAATGCTGCACAATGGCAGAGAATGATCTCTTTGGGGGGGGCAGAGAATGATCTTTATGAGTGAGGGATTCATCTCCATTCCAAGTTTATTTTAATGGATACCTGTAATGCTTTAAAACCAGTCGTACCAAGTGACCAATGGTGTTTTTTTTTGAAGACTGAAAAGGAGGAAAACTTGAAGTTCAATAGATAAGCTATCGGGCCTGATATCAAAGGAAAGGCATTCTTTGAGACATGGTCTCAATAAGTGAGAGGAAAAAGGTGTAACATCAGTTTTTTAATACTACAGACGAACATCTGCCAACGAACTCCTAAGATATAGAAGTGACACAAGGGGAAATATGAAATCTGGACTCTGCAATGCAAAGGTTCCAGGGGGTGGGAGGGTCACGTGATCACATACATGCCTAATGCCTTTGAAGAGATCTGTATTCTGGGAAGGTACCTTACACCCTGGGTCAGTAGGCCAGTGGATCAACCAGTGTACAGAAGACACAAACAGATTTATCCAAAGCAGAGCATGAATAAAAGTGATACAGAAAAGGAAGCATGCAGGGGGATAGGAGTCTCCAAACAAGTTCTTAGCACCAAGCCTATAGCATTTTCAGAGCAGGTCAAATGCTGGAAAACAGCCAACGGACACTAAAGCTTCTTACTTACTATGCAACTCCTCCTCCTCCTCACTGGAATAAGAAGAGCCAAGAGAAAAGAGAGTTTTAGGCTTTAGGAGGAGCGGAGAGATGCTGATGGAGAAGGAGATCCGCCTTGCCTGCTGCGTCTGCTGTGGAGCTGGGAAGTGGGTTAACAGAAGACGTTAAGAGCAGGCAGAGGCTACGCCAGGGCAAAGATAAAGGTATCTCAAACCCATGTCCAAGCAGAGCAATGTAGCATTGGCCTAGCTGGTAATAGGAAAGGGTATGTCAGTGAAGAATGAAATTTATTCACACATTCATCTTCATTTCTCATCATGCAGAATTCTAAGGCAAGATTTTTTTTTAAATCCATCGAATAAAAGTATCTGTTTAGGTCAATGGTTCTCAATCTTCCTAATGCTGTGACCCTTTAATACAGTTCCTCATGTTGTGGTGAGCCCCCAACCATAAAATTTATTTTTGTTGCTACTTCATCACTATACTTTTGCTACTGTGATGAATCAGGCGACCCCTGTGAAAGGGTCCTTCGACCCCTCAAAGGCCCAAAGAGGTCGCGACCCACAGGTTGAGAACAGCTGGTTTAGATTATACAAAGACGTACGTCATTTAATTGTAACAATTTACATGTGGCGTTTTCTACTTTGAAATATGCTAACAACATCTCCAGTCGTGGTGGTCCCTCGAGATTCTGTCTTCTGTGTTCACTTTTGTTCACCCCTCTCTTAAAATACAACCTTTATACTAACTTCTAGTCACACCTCCTCTCCGGTGAGGGCAAGACTCACTCATCGCACTCAGTGCTCACCTGTGGGTACAGGCAGCTCACACCCCACAAGAACATCACCTAAACCGGGCTTCCTCCAGTACTTCTTAGTTTGATGTGTGCTACTGACCATGTAACTGACTATTCAAAACAGGAAGTGGAATTCTTTATAGAACACCCTAACTCTCGGTGTTCCCTTCTACACCTGTGAGATTTTCTCCACTGCCTGTATCCCTGGTTCAGAAAACCACTTACCATCCAGTCGTCCACAGATCTACTAGCTTTGGACCCCATCACATTCCCTCTGGGAGGCTTGCTGCAGGGTTACCACATCCCTGAGATCAATGAATGGCCCTCCATTACCCTCAGCAAAAAGTCAGAAAATCTCAGTCTTGCTGTCCACGAATTGATTCAGCAGCCAGATTCCTAGTTTTTGTTCCAGTTTCAATTTTTAGATGACTTCACCCTAGTAAGCTTCACTAGCAAGCCTCCTCTGATCTCTGAAGTCTGACGCTTCCATGACTGGAATGAAGAACTATCTACTAAGACCCATTTGTTCTCTTCTCTGTATCTCTCACCAGACAGGAAGTGTGATGACAGAAGAAACCACATCTACGCGTTCTTCCCATTGTTTGGCCTGGTGACCAGGGAAGAGAAAAATGTCCAACATTAGTTGAACAAATGAACAATAAGCGAATTTGCCTTTATCAAGCATCCTGGAAACTCAAGTATTTGGAACCTCTAAATAAAACAAAAGAAATGTCCTGGACCTACCCCATAAAAAACACCCCAGATGAATGGTGAGTGACATTAGACTGCTGTCTGCAGCCACTGCAGGTCGTAGACATCAGATGTGAAAGGTTGGCACAAATACAAGTATACTGTCTCGTCAGTTAGTAGCAAGCAGTCTTGTGTAAATAAACATTTTAATGTAAGTTCCAAAGTATTTCCAAATATGAAACAACTATAAGACATTAAAATTGGGTCTCATATGATCAAACATTGGAGAGCATCCCTTCCTGTGTCACAATAAAAGCTTTAAATCATCAGGAAAAATTCATTTGTATGAGTATCTGGAGACTATCTACAAAACAAACAGATACCCCAACATATAAAGGAGTAGGATACTCAACACAGAATCAATTTTGTAATGTACTAAAACTAAAATAAATGTACTCAATATGCATTTAATTCAGCATGCAGTCAAATTAAAATGCATTTCTTACATTTAAATTACGAACTCATCAAAAATTCCATCTACCTACTAAAATTATGCCAAGAAAATACATGTGTTCTATTAAGTACATATCCCAGGATGCATGCTGAGAGTCAGAATAAGTGCAGAAGTAGAGAGAAACTATCCTATATTCCTCATTAGCATTAAACCATAGCATCTTAGATGTCCAACGCTCATCTAGGTGCATGTGGATTGTGAATCTTTCATTGAGTATCTCATTTACATAAACCTTGTAAGATCCACTTAGTAGCTTTCATAGGCTGATGGTTGTGAACAACTAATGCTCTAAGTACAAGACAGGTGTAGGCCGCATGGCAAACTCTCACCGATGAATAGGAATAATCCCGAGGGCAGAAGCATTTGTCAACACCCTTTCTTCGAACAAGTGACACAAAAGGAAGGGCTGGGTACAATTCTACTTGGAAGACTATTGCCACTGGTGTGAACTGGGCCCTGGTGGTGCAATGGTTAAGTGCTTGGCTGCTAACCAAACATCAGTGGTTTATTTTTTTCTCAGCTTTATTGGCACTTCTTCCACATACTATACTTTTTTTCAGCCCAATCATACCAGGAAGTGTTGTAAAATCATCGCCACAATCAATTTTAAGACATGTTCTTCTTCCCTGTACTCAATTGTGATTTTTAAAATCACAATTAAAATATACATGAGTAAGTGTTCTCCTATTCAACATCTTCTACATGTATAGTTCAGTTCCAGCAAAGGATACTCTGCTGTACAACCAGGTCAGTGGTTTAAACCGACCGGCCACACTCAGTGGGAAAGAAAGGTGAGGTTGTCTGCTTCTGTAAAGACTTATCCTCTTGCTGAAGACAAATGGGTGCATAAGCAAATGTGGCGAAGAAAGCTGATGGTGCCCGGCTATCAAAAGATATAGCGTCTGGGGTCTTAAAGGCTTGAAGGTAAACAAGTGGTCATCATCTAACTCAGACGCAACAAAGCCCACATGGAAGCACACCAGCCTGTGTGATCATGAGGTGTCGAAGGGATCAGGTATCAGGCATCATCAGAACAAAAAATCTTACCACAGTGAATGATGGGGTGAGTGCGGAGTGGAGACCCAAAGCCCATTAGTAGGCCACTGGACATCCCCTTACAGAAGGGTCGTGGGGAGGAGACGAGCCAGTCAGGGTTCGATGTAGCAACGATGAAAAATACAACTTTCCTCTAGTTCCTAAATGCTTCCTCCTCCCCCACTATCATGATCTCAATTCTATCTTAAAAATCTAACTAGACCAGAGGATGTACACTGGTACAGATAGGAACTGGACACGCAGGGAATCCAGGGCGGACGAGCCTTTCAGGACCAGTGGTGAGAGTGGTGATACCGGGAGGGTAGAGGGCAGGTGGAGTAGAAAAGAGGAACCGATCACAAGGATCTACATATAACTCCCTCCCTGTGGGATGGACAACAGAAAAGTGGGGGAAGGGAGACGTCAGACAATGTAAGACATGACAAAACAATAATACTTTATAAATTATCAAGGGTGTGGGGAGGGAGGGGAAAATGAGGAGTTGATAGCAAGTGCTCAAGTAGAAAGTGAATGTCTTGAGAACGATGAGGGCAATGAATGTACAAATGTGCTTTACACAACTGATGTATGTATGGATTGTGATAAGAGCTGTATGAGCCCCTAATAAAACGATTATATATATATATCTAAGACATCGTCGTAGATACCCAAAGGGGCAATCCTACTTTATCCGATAGAATTCTATATCGGAACTGACACACGGGAATCGGTTTTGGTCAATGATATGCTTTAAGGTTCTCCCACAGATAATATATCAAGCAGTTTTTTAATTGCAAGATCTCTGGGTATAAGTAACAAAATGATAAGGTATAGATAATCTTGGAAATGGACCATCTGTAATAAGAATTACTCTGTATACCCAAAAGTTCAGCTTGTTCTTAAGTTGTATCCAGAAAGTATCTAAATTTCCAGGCAGGCTGGGAGACAAAGGCATCTTTTAATCAGTCCTCTGATGCACATTTCCTTGAGGCTCGCGGAGGCCATTCTCCCAGACATTATCCCACAGGATACAGGCTGTTTCAGTGCTGATTTTGAGTCTCTAGAACAATGAGCAATTATGTATTGGTCATATCCCAACGTAAAGCACGAGCTGGGACAGCTTTCCGACTCTTTGTGGTCCCCAAATAAACCGCCCCTTGTTTACCTCCCACCCCAGAAAATGGGGGAGAGAGAGATCTGAGTTACTCTTTTACTCAGAACTTCCCCTACATCAATGGGCTGTAGAGATCCCAGTTTAGAAATAATGCTCGAGGGTTTCTGTTTTTCTAATTTAGCAAATAACCCAACAAGACATTGCCGATCATGGGTCAGCAGACATACGTTTTCAGAAGTGATCAAATGTGGACAAGCCTGGGGGAGAAGCGGCTACTTTCTTTCGAAGGAAGAAGACCTAGCACAGGCACTGAGCCTGAAAGGAGTGAGCGAGAGGTAGTTTTAGAAAGCATTGTTGCTAAACAGGAGTGTCCACACAACACAGTTTATTTACAAGGTAATGAAGAACAATGTGCTACTTTCTTTAACACTGCTTAAAACCCAGTCTGAGAAAACTCTGGCCCTGTTCTGGGCACTAACAACTAGAATACCCCAGTATGAGGATGGATGCGTGCTACAACTTATGTTATGGAAGTATTTTAATTCATTTAGGCTTCAACACCACGCTGAATTAACGGAAGCAGAGATCGGATGCAATGGGCCGTGCAGCCACAGAGTAATCTTTCATTGTGTTACATTCAACAAAAGGGAATAATAATAACACATTTATTATTACATATATTAACAACATAATATATAATAATAACATTTTTTTTTTTAAAGGGTCACATCCTTAACCCTCTGGATTCCTTACCCATCAGATCTGAACACTAGTCTGAATGCTTTTAAAGAGGAAGTAAAGTAAAATAGAAACTGGTTCAAATTCATTTGCCACAGTCAAGGTAGTTTCAAACAAACAAACAAACAAACAAAACTACCTGAGGCACAGAGCTCAGTAACTGATCATGTTCCCCGAAAGGAACAAAATACAGCCCGGGAAAATGAATTTAACTGTATATGGGGGAGGACCCTGAGGTCGTGTCATTGGAGTCGGTTAGTTTTCTGATATTATATGGGACTACTTAACTAATGTATGACACACCCATTCAATCCTACATGACATAAATGTGTATTACAAATCAGAATGAGCGCACCACATGTTGATGACAAAATTAAACTCTTGCATGAAATTCTTCTCCTGACAGCTATCTGCTACTGATTTCAGTTCTCCCCAGTGAGCTGGCAGAATTTCCCACCTATAGGAAGAAAAGCTGCCAATGACAGGGATCCTAGAATCCTGTTATCTGGGCGACAGCTACATTTTTTAGTGTTCAGACAGACACTGAAAACAGTCACAATTTGTCCTGCTTTCTAGAGGAAAAATGAGGGAGTGTGTTACCCACGAGGAAAGAATACGTGTCACATAATTCCGGAGAAGGGTGTCTGCTGCTACAGGAGAGGCATATTCACCGTGCCTCAGTGGAAGCAGGCACACAGAGCCGGAGGGTCTCAGTCAGAGGGCTTTCCTGATCTGCGCTGGCTATTTACTCCAGGCTCATCAAATCCATTACAAACTGCTGCTTCTGCGGTTGTTAGGTGCTGTGAGCCGGTTCCGACTCATCGCAGACCCCGTGTACAACAGGACACGACACTGCCCTGTCCTGTGCCATCTGCACCCTTGTCATGTGTAAGCCCACTGTTGTCAACCCACCTTGTCCGCTCTAAGCTATTCCGTTAGAATTTTTCTTCGATCCCTGCAAAACCTCTAAGATATGCCGAATCAAAGTGAAACTGAACTAAAACATACACAAGGAGGCAAAAGTGATTTGATACAGTTTCGTGATGTTAGACCTATGCCTCTGAGGAAAAGCTATCATAAGGCTGGTTCAAAGAGGCAAGATATGCATTTAAAGTGTTAGCCATATGAAAAAATAGGACCCAAGTCATACATCATGTTCTAATTGCCTGTGGAAATTAATGTCATGAAACAGGAGCCAACACAGAACATCCTACTACTGCAGCGCAGCTACTTATGTCTCCAATGCTTTTACATTTAGTGAAATTCATGTGCTTTTACTTAAATCAGGGGAAACATAAAATATAAGAAAATATCTTTATTCTAGTTGCTTCAGCCTCCTCAATGTTTGGTCTTTCCACAAAGAATGTAAGGTATCACTCAATCTTTAATCAGCTGATTGATTTTTTTATAAAGATATACTATGTAAAAAAACAAAACAAAAACATGATTTTTTTTAAGGCATGGACTTTCTCAAAGTACAGCCGTTCTTCTGTGGATACAATCCTATTAGGATTTTGAGCATCTGTTACTCACAGATGCCCCATCACTTAGAAGTCACTCTCTCTCACTTATTTCACCAACGAAAAAAAAGTAGCTCAAGGCTTTCTTTATCCTTCATGAACCTGAACATTTTTTAAGAGTTCAGAGCAAAACATGCTGTAAAATGTCCTCAAAGCGGGTTTGTCCAGTGTCTCCTCATGTTTAGACCCAGGTTATACAAACTTTCTGGCAGGAACATTACAGAAGTACTATGTTGTTCTTTCTCATCTGCTCAAGAACCAGACGGTGTTAACTTGATCCATGACGTAAATATTGGCCATTTGGTGTCTTATCAGGTCTCACTACTGCGTAGCTCATGAAAAGAGCCCTTCTGGATGAAAAGTGGAGTACAGAGACACAACCACCAAACACAGCTTAGGTTTCTGGACTGGATTTTGGATGCAAAGAAGGTAAAAGCTACTTGCAGAAACTGGCATGTGGTCTGCACTGTGGAGTTGCACTGTTAATTTCCCGTGGAGGATCCCTGCACTCTGGTAATGGAAGTGAGTACTTTCCCATTAGCGTTTTGCACCTAAAGAGTTAGAGGTAAAGGAGGACCTTATCTGTGACCGACTCTCATGCATATCTAAAGAGCAGTGATGAAGAAAAGGAGACTTCTGCCAATTATGTTCATATTTGGGGATAAGACATAAAAATATTCCGTATTTCATTGTACTATTTTCCCAACTTTTCTTAAGGTGATACATTACTTCAAAGTCAAAAGGGAAACACAAATGTGTGTCAGGCTTAGACCCAAGAGTGTAATGAATAAAGGACATTTTTAGGGAGCAGGAGGAAGAAGGTCCCGCGGCTGAACACTAAGTCACTGCCTCTGTTTCAGTGCTGACCCACTCCTTTAGATGACGAGGGAGGGAGGGAGGGTTGGGAAAGATATTGTTGTAGGGCCTTAAAGTAAGGAAAAAATGATAGGAAAAAAGTCCTGATGTATCTAGTTGATAAGAATAGCAAAGCAGCAGCAGTAGCATACTCACTGTCCAGTCCAGGGTGGCTGATAGTCATTAATGAGATGGATTTGGTCAAGGGAGAGGAAATGGCTGATGTGCAGTAATTAAATCCCTGTTGTTTGGATCTGTGACTTGTCTGTGAAGTAAAAAAATGAAAACACAGGTTCTGAGTACATGCTTTCTTATTCCAAGTGAGTATAACATTTTAAACTCAGATACAACAGTGAGACACATGGTGGGTGGACAGCACAGGCTTTCGAGTTGGAAACATTTGGATTCCAGTCTCGGACCTTGCCTGTAACAGGTGTTCCACTTCAGAGATCTTATTTGGGGTCCCTGAGTTTCCTCAACAAGTGCCAAGTAAAAACTTCCAGAAAGCCAAGCAGTCATGCTGAACAACTTCAGCGGGTGACTGAAATTTGCCTAATAATTTAATTGCCTCAATAAATTCACAGCAGCTTCAAGGCCAAGAGGTCCCACCACGGCAGCAGCTCCTCCTAGAGGACCCCCGAATGACGGTCATCTATTGCTTGCTGGTATGCTTCTGGTGATGAGAGGCTCTCACCCTCCCCTTTGGGGTGGAGGAAGCCCAGCCGGAAAGGTAATGAATTGTCAGAAATCTGTTCCCTTTATAAACCAGTCAAGGCCAGCTCACAGCACCAGTAAGGAAGATTAGAAGTGGTCCACAGGGTTTCTCATAGAGACTGAAATCTTCATCTTCACATCTTTCTCCCAAGGTTTGAACCGCCCACCTCCAGGCCAGCAGCTGAGGACGCAGCCATGGCACCACTCAGACTCACACACACAAAGGGAAGCAATGAAAACCCGTTACGCATAGGAACTTGGCTCAATCGCACCAAAGGCTTCTGATTACTTAAGAGCATGTAACCGTGACAACCAAGGCAAAACAAGTTATATATATTTCCAATATAACTGTGAGGTCTGGAAAATGACCTCACTCTCGAGAAGCCAAGGTCATTCCAACTTATAACAGGAAACTGACTTGAGGGAACTTGTCTAGATTAGTCATATCAGCAGCACAAATACCAGCTCTGAGGTTAAAAACCAGATGTAAGACTATGGGTGGGCAGAGAGGTCTGGCAAGTCTAAGCCCAGGAAGGTGCTAAAATGTTGTTTCTATCAAAAGATAAAACCAAGAAAGTCATTTCAGAAGGATACCTCTGGTAATGTACATTGATAACTGAAAATGAACCTTCTGTCAAACACTAGCTTTGAAAAAGCATTCATAGCCAGTATAAGATAATCAACATTTTTCATTTCATCATTTGGAGGAGTTATAAGTTTAATCGTGTTCATTGGGTTTACACTTAAGTCCTTGCATTCAAGGGTTTGAGCTGAATCCAAAGGAGTATTTTGGCCCTTGGTCTAGGTATGGTTCCGCCTACAAGTCTACAATCTTGGTACTTACCTGGTTTTCAGAACACTCATAATACACTGAAATGCAGTCCATTTTTCAGACTGCCCAGTGGTGTTCTTACTTTATCATCAAGGGGGCCCTCAGTTACCAGAAATGAGTCCTACTTTTTTCCTTTCCTTTTTTGTTACCATCAACCAAACCAAACTTGTTGCCATCTTTCCATTCTGACTCATAATGAGGACCCTAAACAGGGTTCCTGAGGTGGTTTGTCTGTAGGGAAGCAGACAGCTTCATCTTCCTGGCTCAGAGCAGATAATGGGTTTGAACCACTGACCTGGCAGTTAGCGGTCCAACGTCTAGCCCACAGAGCCACTGGAGTTAACATTAGGCTATGTAAATCAAAATTAACTGCTCTATGTTCTTGTTATTTTTATTCTCCCTAACGTATCAGACCAAGGAGAAATGGAAAAAGAAAAAAAAATTTTAAAGGTGGTAAAATTCGTTTAGGCCTTCCATTTTATTTTCATTGGGTCTAAATTCTCTTAGACTTCCACACAAATGACACATTCATTACTAATATAATCCTCCAGTGACAAATTTATATGTGGTAATGGAATTACTATGTTGTAGATGTAATTTTAAAAAATCTATATAACACCCCAATCACCTATTCAAAACTCAGACTGCTTCACATTTGTTTATTTGATTAGAAAGGCTTCGCCCACTGAGTCAGTGCTGACGCACAGAGATGCCCCAGTAGGGTTTCAGAGACTATCAATCTCTAGCGAAGTAGATCGCCTGTAGCGTGTGGCTTTGAGCTGCTCATGTTTTGGTTTCACAGCCTAACTCCTAATCCACAGCCCCACCAGGCCTCCTGAGGATCCTATAGAAATGTGTACAGTTGGCCCGTGAACAACATGAGCTTGAACTCTGGTCACTTATACAGGTGTTTTACTTAAACTGCCCTATGGCACTAATCATTTCTGTGCGAGCAGTGTGTCTCTGTAGTAAGTTGCATGCTGCAGTGAAAATGAACTCTTGCCCTGCTTGTGTACCGTATTGTCACCATGTTTAGTGGAAGGACTGCGACTTTGGATTCACACCCTGGGGCCCACGTGAAGGGCCACTCATGATGCGAAAAGGGCTCCCGAGAAGCAAAGAAAGAGTCCTGACATGAAACAAAACATTGACCTGCTTTCTCTGAACCACAGGTTGAGGTCTGCAGCTGCAGACGGGTAAGGACTATTAATAATAGTAATAAAAAGAATGAAAGAAAAGGAAATTCATGAAGCCATATGTAGTTGGGACAGCAGGCACAAAAATCTTTTGTTTGTTTGAATCTTGTACTGAAAGTATAGCTTTTATGTGGGCGCAATATACTTGTAATATAAGCTATGTGTGTTAATGGATTGCTTATGTCATTGATAAGGCTTCTGGTCAACAGTAGACTACTAGCAGTTTTGGGGGAGTCATAAGTTCTAAGTGGATTGGACTGTAAGAGGGTGGGGTGGCCCCAATTCTGTGTTGTCCAAGGGTCAACTATAATTTACATTCTCAATCCAAAAACCCCCTGTGCTATGATAAGGAGGAGCCTGAGAAGACTGGAACTAAGAAAAAGCCACTCACTGGGCTAACACGGAAGCCTTTCCTGACCATTACAACAGGCCATTAAGACAGTGGCGATACCAGGAGGGAAGGAGGGGGTGGGTAGAAAGGGGGAATTGATCACAGGGATCTATATATAACCTCCTCTCTGGGGGATGGGCAGCAGAGGGGTGGGTGAAGGGAGATGCTGGGCAGTGTAAGAGAAGATAAAATAATAATTTATAAATTATTAAGGGTTCATGGGGGAGAGGGGAGTGGAAAGGGAAGGGGAGGGAGAGAAAGGAAAATGAGCTGATTCCGGGAACCCAATAGGAAAGCTAATTTTGGGAATGGTGAGGGCAATAGATGGATGGGTGTGCTTTACACAATTGATCTATGTATTGTGATGAATTGTATGAGCCCCAATAAAATAATTAAAAAAAAGAGACATCATTAGGAGGTGAGAAAAAGAAGGCGGGGAGTGTAAAGCAGCCTTTCAAAGACTCTGCCAGCGTAAAGAGGGGCAGATAGCATAAAAAACGGTTCTTTTTTAAGGAAGGAGGAATCATGGGGCTTGTAGAAAATCAAGAAATTTAATAATTTCCTAATTGATAATATTTTAATAGTTTGCTTTGATAGAATATTTAATTCGACGTACAATTAGTTCTCACTGAATGTTAAAAACTTGCTTTTGTGCTAGACTGGGCTAACTAGGACCAAGTAACAACCTCACTGCCATGGAGTCAATTCTGCCTCACCGCACGCCCCGCCCCACCTCACCCCGGTTCCCAGGTGTCAGCGTTCACAGGAACGGACGGCCTCCTCTACACTAGCTGCGGGTTTGCCCTGTGCTCAGCAGTGCAGTGCTTACTTGGAGTGCTACCTTATTACACAATGGGTCAACAACCACCGCTCCTAGCTCTTCGCTAACTCACAATTTCTGCCTTTTCATATGAGGTCATATTTCAGGAAATGCATTTAGTACTTTTTCTAACGATTAGTACACACTTGGTTTCAGCCTTACCTGATGGTCAAACATCCGATGTTCTCTCTGGCCAGACTCCAGATCCTCTTCGGAAAGTGACACTAGCGAGTCACCGCGCTCGTCACCACTGAAGGGCTTGGTGTTTGCAGAGTTTGCTTCCAGGGATGAGGGTGGCTTACTTCTGACCCCAGTTCCACCTGTCAGGCCTTCCAGGCTGAAACTGAACACAGGGCACCAGTCAGCTTGTGCTGCGTCTTGAAGGCGAGGAGGACACAGATCTCCAGCTCTATCTCCCCTGATGGTATATGCCTATGTCTATCACCCCAAGGGCATTCCACAAATGAGTACCACCTGCCTTTCTCCCCCAAAAGCTCTTGGAATCCTGAGAGGATACTGCACTTAAATAAAATCATACCTCAATCGACTTATTCAACGATTATTTTTTTCTCTCAGGTTTTTTAAGTAAGATCATTTGGACAGATCAAATTAATCTCATCAGTCCATATCCACACACGTGCATGTATATATCTACAGATAAACTTTCTATATACATACATATATATATAAACTTTTCCTCAAAGGCTAATGTATTCAGTCTTGGCCACCATCTGGCTCTGCTGTATGTATCAAAGGATGAAATCACAGAGCAACTATTAGCACAAGTAACCTTTGGAAGACAAACCAGGAGACTTGCCTTTGCCCCCATCGAGTTGACTTTCATAACTTTGCACTCAACCACAGCCTTCCTGACCTTTCTAACTTGACAGGAATGCTGCCACTCTAGCAAGCCCAATGTTGCTCACAGCTTCATCATAGGTGCACAGCTGGCCAGACAATTACTTAAAAGGTTTTCTGAAAATTGTTAGTTGCAGATAAGCACACCTTGGGGGGGGG